TATTTCTAAAATTAATATAGAATAATAATAATACCTCTAAAATTTTTTTATGACTAGTTAACTTTTTTGTTTTCCAATCCTAATTAGTATTCACAGGATTCTTTGCATTCTATAAGGTAATGTTAGTGATATCACATTTTTATATTTTCTACCAATACCAAAGCTTCTAAAATGCACTTCTATTTATGTAATTAAAAGCTATGAAATCTTATAATCATTACACTTTTTATCAACTATCTCAAGTTTTCAAAAATAAAATCTCTACATTTCAAGGGTTTGATACATCATTTTTATGTTTTCTTAAACGGACTATTTCTCTCTATTTCAATATTTTGAAACAAACTTTAAGTTCTAAATTTAAATAGACAATAATTATCTAATAAATTAACATTAAAAAATATTAACTATATTGTTTTAGTTTTGAAAAACGAAACGTTAGTCATTATGACACAAATCACAATTCATGACATTTAATTATTATTATTTAATTGGAAGTTAAATCATTTTATGTCTCTTAATTATATTATAAATTAAATTCTACCCTTTTTACTTCTTTTTTTCGCGTAGAATATAATCACTTTATGGCTTTTGTGTCTATACCTATTAAATATTTATATAACGATTGTTATTACTTTAATTTCTAATGCAATTGAATTATTTCAAATGTGAATTTGATTCTATCCTATTTCTTGTAGTAACAATAAAATTCCGAAATAACTCACAATTACAGTAGAAATACTACATAATAAATCATTTATAACATACTTTTTTATTTTCTTTTATGAGAAATCAATTATTTGATTAATATATATGATTTGAACGCACTTTATATAGTTAATAAATTTCTATTAAAGACAAACATACCACTTATATAAAATTAATTATATTTATATAAAGTTAATCATATTTTTTATTTTATTATATGTGAAAATCTATTTTGTTTTATTTTTCTTAAAAAATTTCATTAATTAAAATCAAATAATTATGTATTTATCGGTCAATAAATAATAAGTTTTATTCTCTATCTTATTGTATATTTTTATGACAACAATCAATTATATCGATTGTACTATCTAAATATATTTTACAGTTACTAAAACAAACATCCTCTACACATATTTATCCATTTGACAGTTAAATTTAAGAATCTTTCTTTACGTTGATTTTTTATATCGTAGAGATTTTTATATAATAATTTTATTTTATTTTTTATATAGAAATTAATCTATGACTATAGATAAAAAGAGATTTTCAGACTAATTTATTTTTGAGATTAATTTATCTTTTATTTTAAAAGTTTATTATAAAAAACTGCATCCTAATTTTTAACCAATTACTACACGTTAAAAATTTAGCTTGCACCAATTTTTTTTATATTATGAGATTTTTTTCAATTAAGATGAATTAAAAGCCAGAGTTTCATAACATAATCTCAATTTCTCTTCATCTCAATCCCTCTAAATCAAAATTACTTTAAATTATCCTTCAAACATATTTATCTATTTGAAAGTTAAATAAAAGTGAAGAAGTTACAAAAACAAATAACTCATATAATGAAAAAAATAAATAATAAAGTAAATAAATAAAAACTTCACTCATAATAAATTTAGGAGCCTTTTATATATGATGACAATGACCAAAATTTAAGTAAAAAAATAGTTTTTGAAATGATTATTGTATGTTTCCAATCCAATTTATTTATTTTATTATGAGTTTATTCTTCTCTTATTTATCTTTTGAATTTATATTGTATCGTATATTTCTTTAGTTTGATAGTGAAAGATTTCATCTCTTATTTATTTATTTATTGTATGGAAATTAATTTTTGTTTAATAAGTTTTTAATTATGGTATATAAGGTTATATTTATTTTACTTTAACTTTAATAAAATTTTTTAATTTTTTTAAAAAAAAATTATTTTATTTATTTCACCTATTAACAATATTTGATTTTGTTTGATAACAAGTTAGGTTACGTAGTAATAAGCATGTAAAATAACATGATATCTACTTTTAGACTTTGCAAATTATCAATGCATTCTTTTACATTCTTTGCAAATTATCAATGCATTCTTTTACATTCTTAATATGTCAGTTACAAAACTGTTCAAAGTTTGTATTATATATTCATTAATTTTTGTTTCTATACAAATTTTATGTTTGATGTCACTCATTTTAATTTTAATTTTTATTTCTCTTTTTATATGAAATTCTAAAAACAAACTTGATAAATAAATTGAGATTTATTTCGGGAGTATCACTTTGCAATTAGAAATTTGTTAAGATTAAATATATATAATTTTTTTTACATATACGTATATATGTGTTAACACTAAGAATCTCATAAATGTGTTAAAACTATGAATATTAAGTTTATCAAATTCCTATTAGATGTGTTTTTTCATGTAAAATAGGTGGAAGGAAAAGATATTTCAATATATTATAATTATTAGAATTTTGTTTTTATATTTACATAAATATTTATTTTTATAAAAGGAAATATATTATTTATATTATTTATGTTTTATCTTACCGTCAATATTAGGGGTGGCAAACGGACATGTCTTCCCCGTTTAAGCCTGCCAGGCAAAAGTGCACAAAAAAAACAGGGCAGAGCGGACATAATTGAGGATGAGGATCTAAAATTTAAGTTCGTCCCACAAAAAAATAAGTGTGGGCGGGGAAAGCCCGCGGATACTGCATTTTTTAGGCCTAAAAATAAAAATTTTTATGCTAATAATCATGTCCGCAAAAGCTCGCGAAGAAAATGGAGCGAGACAGGACGGTCACATTAGAAAGTGAAAACCTAAATTCTTGACCTGCACCGCAATAAAGTACGGATAAAACAGACATGCCCAACAGACCGGATCCGTTTTACCACCAGTATCAACCGAATACTAAATTTATTTATTGTATTACTTTTATTTGAAAAGCAAACTCTTATTTTCAAAGTTACACTTATTAATGTATCAATAATATTTTTTAAAGATTAATAAACAATACTATAGGTTTATAAAAATGAAATTAATTTTTAAGATGATAATATCATTTTGTTTTTATTAAAATTAATTCAGTTAATTGAATTTGATTTATTTTATAGATTTATTAAAAAAAACATGAGACAATTATAATTGATAAATACACAAATTTTGTATGTTTACCAGTATTTTGTTTGTCTTTTATTTTATATTTTACTCATTAATATTTTATCTTATTTTATAACAAAGTATAACATATTATATATGGTCAACATTTATATATGTTCAATGAGTGTTACTTCTTAAAATCTAAAATAAATTTATGTTCACTTCGTTAATGTCCCAACTTAAAAAAAAGCGGGCAGGCATAATATAGGGTTCGATCCCGAAAAATTATTGATGATGATACATAATAAGTACATTATTTTAATTTTTATTGATTTTTTTATATTTTTAATTAAGAATTATATATTCATATATCATAATTATTTTTGGATATCTCTACTATTAAAATTTGATATTTAATTCAATTAACATAATTTTATTGTACATTATGACATAACACTGCTACTTTCTAAATTAAATTAATATTTTTATTACAATCATAATTTGAAACATTTTCTTCTTCTTAATTTGTATATCTTTTATATATATTTATAATCATCATTATACTATATTTATTTATTATTTAATATGATATTGCACGACTCATGCGAATACACAAGTAGATGACTATTTAATTATTTTTTTTAATTTTTTTACTAAAATATAATTTCCGACAAGTTGAGACTACTTAATTTGTATATATTTTATATATATTTATTAACCATCACTATACTATATTTATTTACTATTTAATACGATATTGCACGACTCATGCGAACACACGGGTAAATGACTATTTAATTATTTCCTTTATTTTTTTATACTAAAATATACATTTTCGACGAGTCGAAACTATTTAATTTGTATGTATTTTATATATATTTTTTAACTATTATTGTACTATATTTATTTATTATTTATGAAGATATTGTGCAACTCACGTGAACGCATAAATAGATGACTACATAATTATTTCATTTATTTTTCAATATAGTATAATTGAATAAATTAAAGGAAAAAACTTAGGTGCATTTTCTTAGGTATGATTTATGTTTTTTTTCTAATGAAAATATGACAAGTGTATAATTTTTTATTTAGGTATATTTATCATATTTTTATTGGAGAAAAATATGAACCACACCTATGAAATTGTATCTAAGTATTATCTTAAATTAAACTAATATTTATATAATAATTATAACTGAAACAATTTTTTCACTCAATTCATATATCGACTTTGACTTTGCGCGACATGTGCGAACGCTTATTAATTTAATTTAAATGTCAAAATCAAAGTTTCTTAATCCACAAAAGCCACAATTATTATATCAACTTAACCATTTATGACATTAAAAAGAACACTACTGAACATAACCTGCAGAAAAAACACAAACTCCATTTTCTTTCACAATTCCAATATAAAAGCAAAAAAAGACTATATAAATCTGTCAATATTTATATAACACAACCCATATCAACTATGCTTACTCAATCTGAAACACATTCACATTCACTTATATTGACAGAAGTCATGATTTCTTCCTTCATAAATATGAAATGAAGTGGTTAAAATGAAGAAAAATATTTAGAAATTTTATAGATTCAAAAAAAAGGAAAAGGAAAATAATCCAATCACTTTCTGAACTTACTTACACCATTATGTTTTATAGATCTATTATGCTCTATACAAGCTTCTTGTTCCTCCAACAAACATAATCAGAGTAGTATTATATGTCACAACAGTTGGCGATTGTCCGTTTGACTTCAATTCATTATATAATCTAATAGAAATATCGAGCTTTCCAACATCACAATAATCTTTGATCAATGTGTTATATGTAAATATGTTTGGTCTTAGGCCAATACGGCTTACACGATAAACCAACTTTACTGCTTCTCCAAGCTTCTTCGTTTGACATTACTCGTTTATCACAAGGTTGTATGTCATAATACTACATGCTATGCCTTTCTCACGTATTTCTTCAAACACGTTAAAAGCTTTATCTATGTTGCCATCATTGAAATATTCATCAATGACACAACTGTAAGTATAAACATTAGGCACAATTCCACTTTGCTTCATGTTTTCATACATTTGAAATCCTTCCTTTTGAAGGCCTTGTTTGAAAAACCATTTATTAATACACTGTAACTATGCTGATTGGCGACTAAATCCAATCGTTCCATCTTGCAAAACAACTTCTTTGCTAAATGAACATCATCGTTCTTGCAACAACATCTTGGCTATTAGTAGCATTATCCCTGCTCAGAAAATATTTCTACAAACACTTTGTAGACAGATTAATAAAACAGCCAATTGTATATCATTTTCTTAAATTAATAAAAAAATGTTTGGTTCTTCTTCTCCAAAGAAATACCCACTGCCATTATCGACAACCTACAAAATGATATACTGAGTTAAGCAATATGCAGAGTTAAACATGAGCAATATATGAAGAACCTCAATTACTTTTACCAATCCATATCTTCAACTAAAAAGAATAATTTATTTTAAGGAATACAAACCAAAAGTGATAGTGCATGCTCCGTGCTGGTCTGCAACAATATTCTCGTTTCTTTCACCACAGAAGGATCAACTTCCAGCACTAATTTAAAACTAACTTGTAACAAAATCCAACAATGATTTCCTCGCATGTGGAACTTGGTTGAACCTGAAGAGCTTCATTTTAGGCTATTAATGCCAGAAACAATTTTAGAGTAAAATTTAATCATTGCAATTTTAATTATGTCGGCAGTAGATCCTGGGAGAAAGGGAATGACACAACATTATAAATGAATTCTGATATCTTTGAAGGAAAGACTAAAATGAACATTGATATCTTTAAAGGAAATATATCCCGATTTAGAAGGGAAACAAATATAGCATACCTGACAAATGGAATTGACAGCTTGCCTCCAGGTTCTTGAATTTTTTGTACTGCTATCTCTATTTCTCGCTTTCAATCAAACTCCAACAACTTGTTCGGACAGAAACTTCATTACTCGTTCACGGCTCTACACGTAGATTCTTGATTCTTGAAGATTTCATGTGATATCAAATCAATGATTCAACATGATGGTCAAATTTATCAAACAAAATTCACAGCTAACACAATAACAAAATCAATCCTCACCATTGTTTCATAACCATCAAAGGCCATAATTCTATCTTGCAAAAAAACCCAATCCTCATCGAATACAGAAAAGTACCTTTACATAATCACCAGTCTGAATCATAAAATCCTTAATCACACTGTAAAATTGACAACCCTTTAACCAATAGGAACTCCTGCTTTCATGCCAATAAAATCATATCATAAATGAGACAATTGTAATGAGAAAGATCACAGGTTTTACAACCATGGCCCCCCATATAGAAAAGAAAAGTAAGAAGAATTTTCACGATTGGTGGGCTCAGCTCAACCCTTTATCATGATCCCACCATTACACTTATCAACATCATCAATTTTTCGTCATCAATACAAGTGGTGGAGAAAGAGGGATACCTGAAATTCTCGACGGTTTTGGGACAATATCAACGAAGAGTTCTATTTTGATTCTATCAGCAGGTAAGTTACAGATTGTAACATCGAAGAAGACAATTGGGTTTTTAGGAAGAGTGAACAATGTAGGGTTTGAAATGTATTGTTTCATATTAATATGGTGTACTTGCAAAGTTAACGTTTGTGAATCTAAGATTTAGGATGGCCCGAGTGAATCTTGGGAACAAAAAGGACAGATTGAAATGTTGTGAATCAATTTTGTATGCGCATTTTCTCTTCTTAAAAAGAATATCAACTACCAATTACAATTTACAATGACTGATATGATTATATTAAATTAATTAATAATGAAATAAAAATAATATAAAGTGCAATAAAAAACTTTAGTGTGCCACATCAGCCGTATTTAATGTCAAATCGCTATAAATCAAGCATTGTGCAAAAAATCAATTTTATTCTTTATAATTAGATTGGATTAAGCATTTAATCAGAGTAATTTCCAAATACTTTAGTTTTTATATATTTATAATAAATATGATAAGAACTATAGTAGTTGATAGTGTGATAAAGATTTGATATCTAAGAGTTTATATAAGTTATAATGATTCGAGTCTTGCATGTGTTAAATGTCCACACAATTGAGTCCTCCACGATCTTTGATCTTACCGGATCAGACTTGGACCGTCACGACTGGCTCCGAGCAGAAGTTGAACGAGATGGGGGAGGGGGTACCTGCAAGGCACTCCGATGCTAAAGTAAGTAGCAGTACGAGCAGGCAAGAAAGTGTGTGTATGGTAAAAGAATGAATACCTGACCCTCTGGGAACAAATGGTATTTATAGCCCCCAGCGCTGGGCCAAGGTCCCTTCATTGGGCCGGGCAGGTTTGGCCCAATGAAGGAACTGCCAGGTTCTACGTGTGTAGTGGGGACCCGCACGTGGTCTCCTTCCTGGGTGTTCTGCGAGAAGTGCAGACGGACGAGGACGCGATCTTTTCGGAATCCAGGTGATGGGGTAATGGTCATAGTCTGCCGTACGAGGGGTGCTCGAGCTGAGGTCGAGCTGGACTGCATGGAGTCGAGGATGTCGCGCTCGCGGACGGTGTCGGACACGACTGTAGCTTCTTGGTCGGTGCGACCCTCTACAAAGCCGTTTGGATTGGGCCTTCATCCTTGCTCTTGGGCCAGCCCGACCCAGTCCAGAACAGGATCCCCCCAAGTCGTGGTTCCTGGAGTAGGAGCCATGGCTTGATCTTTAGTTCACCTCCGTCACGAGGTCCCGTGCTCGAACAAGAGATTTAGCTCCCCGTGGTCATTCGAGGAGTTTCCCCTGTGTCGCGCTCGTGAGATAATTCCTTTCGAGGAGTGCTCGGGGGACTCTCGACGGGTTGTGTTCGTTGAGCACACGAGGCATCTCTTGGGGACCGTGCCGCCACCCTATTGAAGATATGGTCATCATTGCCTAGGGGAGCTATGCGTCGAGGAGGGAAGCTCGTGGTTTCCCGGGGTGACGTTTTGTATTCCACGTCATCACTATAAATAGGGTTCTTGGGCCCCAAAATACGTTTTTCCTCTTCGCGCTTCTCCTCCTTCCTCTGCCTCTACTGCTGCTGTTTTTCATAGGACCGCCGTGCTCTCCGCCGCTGATTCTCTTCTCCGCCGCCGTATCTCTTTCCTGATTTCAAGTAAGCGTCTTATCCCTCATGTTTTTCCTCTGTGGTATGTGATATTTTCCATTGTTTTATACGTTAGAGACTGTGCGTCTGGGATTAGCCCCGGTAGATTCGTATTTTGGCTCGGCAAATCCATGTTTATGCCCGGCAAACGCATGTTTGTGCCCGGTAAATACATAGTTTAGGTATTTGTCTCGCAGTGCTGCCCGGGATCTTCATGATTCAGGGCGCCTAATTCGCGATAGTGCCCGGTAAATTCATAGTTCTAGTTTTAGGATTTATGATATCGCTCGCCATGTCCTTAGCCTAGGTCGACATATTCGTGACTGGCCGGGAAGTTGGCCCGTTTAGGCAATCTATAGGAAGGCTTGTCGCGGTATCTTGGCGTCAGGGAGGTGACTCCACTCTTTTGTTCGAAACTCCAGCTTTTTAGTCATGTGTAGAGTGTGACTCGGTTTGTCGTGCCCTTCTTCCCGTCAGTTATGGCGAGCGTGTGGATTTGCTCCCCAATTGACCGGCTTCCTGTGCTTTGCAGGTAACAATGGCGGATGAACCGTGTTCCTCGGGGCGCAATGAGGTGGAAGATCAAAGCGCCGAGGAGAATGTGTATCTGGTCGATACCATCGACGATCCTCTGCTGGAGTGGGTGGGCGCCGAGCCCAGAGGGATTGCTTCTGCTTACAGTCGGCGCAACCGGAGTGCGTATACTATCGTCGAGCAGGGCGATAGTCAGCCCGACTTTCAGAAAAACTTCGTTGTCACCAGGCCGACTCTTACCGCGCGGATTTGCTCGGAGTTCCCCGAGTACGGGTTTCCCATGTATGAGATCACTTTCAAGGACCTTGGGTTAAAGCTCCCCTTTAGTGATTTTCAGGTCGGGGTCTTTAGTCATCTGGAGTTGGCCCCGTCGCAGCTTCACCCCAACTCGATTGCTTTCCTCCGGGCGTTCGAACTGACGTGTCGCTTCTTAAAGATTGGGGCGACCATACCTCTCTTTTTCAGAGTCTTCCATTTACAGCGCCAGTCTCGGGGGGGTAGGAACAGTTGGGTTTCCCTGAAACAGTCGAAGAGACTGTTCATGATGTATATGATTTCTGTCCGGGGGTTCAAGGACAAATGGTACATCGTGCGGCCGGTTACCAAAACTGGTCTGGAGTCCGTATACGAGGAAGAAACGGAGGTGACCAACGATCACTGGGAGGCTCTTCTAGACGATGAGGGATGCCCGGTGTTGGGGCGTGTGGCCAAGTTCCCCTTGCACTAGACCTCGCGTCACTACGAGCACGGCACCAGGCATTACCATACGCCCGCGGGTAGGATGAGCACCGAAGATGAGGAGGCCTATGGTACTCTCTGCAGATATGTCGATAGTTTCTTCCCTGCCCGGTGGGCCATGAGGGAGGGAAAGGATATTCTTGACGAAGATGGTTATCCGACCTTTGAGGCCCGACCTATTGATACGAAGGCGCTCGTGGAGTGCCAGTCCTTCGGGCAGGCCGCGAACCTGCTAGGTCGTTTACTTTTTTCGTTTTGTTTGAATTCCTTCGCTTGTTTATTTGCTCGTCACTAACCCGGGGTTATTTTATGCAGGTCTCATGGCTGGACGAAAGGAGAGGATCCTGAAGCTAACACAGGATAAGAAAGTCAACAAAAGAGTGGTGCGAGCTCCTCAGGCGACGAGGATGGGCCCTCCAACTAGCCCGGGCGATGCTTCTGGAGGGTCCCCAGACACTCAGGATGTTGAGCCGCATACCGACCTGATACCGAGGAAGAGGAACCGGGTGGAGAGCCAACCGGAGGTCGGCGAGGACTCTGGTGCGGTGAGGTCCTTCGGGTTGCCCCCCTGTTTTAAAGAGGAGGGTTTCTTCGAGGGATTTCCCTTGTCCGTGAGCGCTGACGAAGCTGATACCATTAGGCGGCTGAGCAAGGAGAATCGGAGAAAGCATCTGGCCGCCAACATGGTCGGGATGGTCAAAATGGGCAAGATGGCCGTTGTGCTGGCCGAGGAGGGGGCAGATTCTGATCGCATCAAGGAGCTGGAACAGGAGAAAGCTGCCCTTACTGCGAGCTCACGGAAGTTGAAGGCTGCCCTGGAGCACTCCGAGGAGATGTTCCGCGAGCAAGCCGAGCTGCTGGCCGCGGAGAAAGAGAACTCGGGGAAGATTGCCGAGGAGAGGGAGTACTTCCGTGAGGACCGGGAACGCTTGGAAAACGACAACGAGCGCCTCGCCAAAGAGTTCGAGGAACTAAAGGCCGCCATGCTCCCTGCCGAGGATGAGTCGGAGGAGACAGCTCCTTTGCGGAGTCGGTCGGAACTGGTTGCTCGAATTCAACTCCTCGAGGCGGACTGTGTCGGTACTTTGGCGGATGGCTTTAAAGTCGTGGTTAGCCAGCTCGCTCTGTTGAATCCCGATATGAATACTGAAGGAGTGGGCTACATGTCTCAGATCATCGACGACCAGGTCGTGCCCCCGCCCGAGTC